GGGAGACCGAGCATGACATGCGTAGCCGTTATCCTCATCTTTTCACCACTTCAGGTATGTCTCTATACTCGTTCGAGGACGAACAATTATTTTAAGAGGAAGAGAATGTAACAAATCGGCTGATCGTTTTGAGTATTTTAGCACCGATCCCTTAATTTATGCTTCCTCTATGTTATATTTTGGTTATGTAACTTGCCGGGGTGTTTAGGTTTGGATCCGGGTGAGTTTCGGAGTGAAATGGGATACATAGTCCCTAAGTTGGATGGTTAAGTTGAAAGAGTAGACCATAGTTTGACTTTTATGTAGACGACCACGGAATGGATTTTTGACAGTTCCAATAGATCCGTGTCCTGATGTTGATTTGGAGGTCCGTAGGTCGTTTCGGCGAGAATTGGCGAAAGTTGGAAAGTTAAAGGTTTGGAAGGTTGAGAAGTTTGATCCAGAGTTGACTTTATTGATATCGGGGTCGAAATTTAATTCCGGAAATTGGAATAGGTTCGTAATGTCATTTATGACTTGTGTGCAAAATTTGAGGTCAATCGGAGTTGTTTTGGTATGAATCGACATTAGTTTTGGAATTCGGAAGTTCATAAGTTCTTTAGGCTTGAATCGATATACGATTCAGGATTCTAGTATTGTTTGATGTGATTTGATGCTTCGAGCGTATTCGTATGATATTTTAGGACTTATTGGTATATTTGGACAGGGTCCCGGGTGCCCCCGGGTGTGAAATGGATTGAAATCGGATCAAAATTTGGACTTGTTAGATTGCTGAAATTTCTAGCTTCTGGTGTCATCATACCTGCGAGGGTCTGGCCGCAAGTGCGGACTCACAAAATCATTATGTGGATCGCAGAAGGGGAGCTGGCTATGCCCAGTTGGGTCGCAAAAGTGGGATGGTCTCTACAGAAGCGAAGTCGCATCTGCGATGGAAGGAAGCGCAGGTGCGAGCTGGATTGTAGGTGTGACGTAATTGCCGCAGGTGCGCATGCGCGGATGCAGACTGGTTCTCGCAGAAGAGGAGGGTATTGAACTAAGTCATGACCGCACCTGCGATGGAAATTTCGCAGATGCGGCAGTTGGTTCGCAGGTGCGAGTTACCTGGGCAGAAAAAGGGAAATTTCGAGGGTTTGATTCACAATCCATTTTTGGACTTAGAGAGCTCGGTGGGAGGCAATATTTCGAGGTTTTTTCAGAGTGAACTTTGGGGTAAGTAAACCTAACTCGATTTTGGTTAATTTATATTAATCTATTGATAATTTCTTCATTTAATTAGTGTTTTGGAGTGGGAAATTTGGGAGAAATTTGTGAAACTTCTTAGGCTAAAAATTAAGGATTTGAAAGGCGATTTGAGGTTGAATTTGAGTAATTCTTGTATGGTTGGACTTGTTATCGAATGGGTGTTCGGATTTTGTAATTTCGGTCGAGTTCCGAGGCGCGAGCCCAGGTTGACTTTTTAATTCTTTGCAAGATCATAATTTCATTGTTTGAATTAGTTTCCTATAGTTATATTTATAGTATGAAATTATTTTGGCTAGATTCGAGCCGTTCGGAGTTGGATAAGAGGGAAAGGCCTTCTAGTTGATTGAGTTAGCGCGATTTGAGGTAAGTGACTTGTCTAACCTTGTGTGGGGAAATTACCCCTTAGGATTTGTGTTGGCTGTGATAATTATGATATGTGAAAGCCGTGTATGCGAGGTGACGAGTGTGTACACGGGCTAAATGTGGAAATTTCCGGTTTTATCTATGTAGATTCCTTTTTCACGCCGTAGTTCAGTTACTTTAACATGTTATAGTTATCATTTCTAGTCTATTTTCACATGTCTACTTGTCTTATTCTCTTACATGCTAATTGCCCTACGTGTTTAATTGGAGTTCTTGTTTCCTTTATTCCGCATTCATTATTTAATCGTTGAACTCTTTACTTGAAGTTGTTAAATCATGGAATATGTTGTTGAAATTGGTATTGAAATGTGAAGGCCGTGATTCATATTGAGGCAAAGTATTAAGTTGCGAAACACCATTCTGTTGAGTTGTTCATTTCGGTTGTTATTGTTGAGACTCTTGTGTACATTGTGGTTGAGCCATGGGCTCTTTACTGTGAAAATACTGTTATTGTTTGGTTTCTCTGGCAAGTTGTGATATTGGGCACTTGAGGTGGGTTTCCTCCCAGCAAGTAGTAAAGCTGGGTTGCCTCCCAGCAAGCGCTTGATTCAACGTTTCGGCACAGCGTGGATCACTTTTTGCCTCCACCTCGAGCTTATGAATTGAACCCCAAATTTTGATTCAAGCTTATGATTATGCTCTAGGGCGGTACAAATTTTTGCTAGCCAAAGTTTAAAAAAAAATTCATGTATTTTTTGGCTCTCGATCGAGGAGTGTCACCTTGCATAGACGACCTTGAAAATTTTAAAATATAAGGCTCGTCGACCTCTAACCTTGACTCTTTTTTTATACTCATACGGATCAATTCTCATTTCACCATCCGAATATAATGTAGAGAAGTATTTAGAACGAGGTCTAACACGCTCAAATTCCTGAACTTCAAGATTTTTAACCTCCTCAATACAAATCACACTAGAGTCAACTAAATTTGTATCCTCAATGTCCTTGCCTGACTCTAGTACCATTTCTTCAACATTGACAACATCAACTTCTAGTTGATTAGAGTGTTGGTGTTCTACTCTAGACCCCTGTATTGGAACCTCAATTTTTGTTTCTAATGCACACTGCTCCTGGCTACTATCCTTAATATTAACTTGTTGAGCATTAAAAGTTTCAACTAGTTGGCTCACTTGAGCCTCCAAGTTGCGAATAGTAGTCTCATGGTATGTGCAGTTTTTTCTCATTATTTTGTTCCCCAAGGCACCTTAGCATATCCTTGATCTCTTTCAGGTCATCATCCTTGGGCTCTTTGTTCCAATTGACTTCACCAAAAAAAGTAGAACCATCATAGTAAGGAGTTGGAGGAGGATAAGAAATATAAGCACAATCACAAAAGTGACTATCTTGACCACCGCACATATCACATATATTCCACACATAAGATTGAGTTGGTGCACATAACTCGCTCTCAGAAATATTTTGATAATTTTGCCATGGATAGTTTCCTCCATAATATACATAAGGAGGATCAAAAGTAGAATTAGCAACATCAAAACTCTCATAATTCAAGATGTCATGTTTTTCTCAAATCAACAAGTAGAATAAAATAAAAATAAAAGTTCAAACTTGAAACATAGCAATATATACAGCTACAACTACATTGTTAGTTCTCCGGCAACGGCGCCAAAATTTAATCACGCCCAACTCTAGTCCTAAAAAGGATAAGCGGTCGCTGCAAATATAATCTGGTCCAAGAGTCCGGAGTCGAATCTCATAGAGAGCTAAGGCTTAGCTACAGTTGTTCAATATCCCTAAAAAATACAAGTCCAAACAATTTCCTAATTACAAAGATTATGATGTTTATTTCTAACTAATTAACTAACAAATACTATAAAGCAGGAAAATTAACAATTAACGGGGATAAAGTTGGAGATAAGGTAAAGAAGGCCTAGAGTTATGATTTTTTTAATTGTCGGAATCCTCCTCGTTATTCCTCCTATAATTGCGCCTAATTATTCTCTACCGATTGTGAGTAACTTGGTTGTTATAACTCTCTCTCGAGCAACTACCACAATTTACTAGATGTATTCTCTCGAACTACACTAGTTGGCACTAATTAGCCACTCACTACGATCGTACCAAGGTTACGTTATCTCTAATCCCGCCTTTAAACCCTCCGTATTGATCTTTCACGTACGTTAGGAGTGATGTTGTTCAAAAACTACCTAAATGCATACTCTCTCTGTAGCAGTACATACTAAATAGGCACAGTCAATTGATAGTCATTCAATCAACAACAACAAACACGTAGTTGAACAAGTAGAGAAATCCAACAGCTCAATTATATAAAAACATAACAAGAATTCATACTCCAAAAGGTTCCATCAAAATCCTTAGAGAACAAATTAGCTATTTATAATAGTATGGAAAACTACAATACTAGATTCATAACCAATAATAGAAATAGAGGAAGAAAGAGGGAAAAACGTATTCTCCTTCTTGCTCCTAGCGTGTTCTTGCCTCTCCAAAGTCTTCTCTCCTTCCAAAGTAGTGTCTCCCCCTCAAAAGCACGTTTTAGGATGAATTTATAGCGACTAGGGTTTGTATGGGGCGAATTTTCCTTCTTCTATTTCGGATTGGAGAAGCTAGTTTCTTCTGCTCCTATCCCGGTCTGGCAAAGTGAACCTTGCTTTGTTGTCCGGGACTTTTCTTGTTTCTTCCGCTCTGGTCCCGGTCTAGCGAAGTAAACCTCGCTTTGCTGTCCGGGGCTTTTCTCTTTAGCTCTTTTTTCACTAATAGTTCTCCTATTTGATCTTTTCCGCATAAGTTTGTTCCTACACATAAGAAACACGTAATGAGCATATTTTCACTTCAAAAGTAGTGTGAACTCCCACAACTCACATAAGAAATAATATACAAACATACTCAAAAACATGTATTTTTCACCATTTATCATCACCCTTCATCATTATTAAATAATTTTATTTTATCCTTTACCGAATATTGTAAGTTTATTATTTATATTGGTGGTGCGTGATATTATGAGACAATGGCAAACGATGCAATATATCAATATATAAAGTACACTATAATTCAATAAAATACGATACATTATAAAACGATATATAACAACCATCCAAACAAGCTGTTAAAGCATCCAAGGTCTACGCGCTCTCACTATGAATACTTTTTTTTTTCTCCATTTATTGAAGAAAAATTTGCAAAGCATCTTTAACCTTCAGTTAATTAAAATATACACTTTGATCATCCTGCTTATGAATCTTCACAAATTTAATGAAGTCTTCACTATTCAATCATCTAATTATCCATGTGTAATGTGTTATGTTATTGTTACTCCATATTTTAGTACTTGTAATATAGTTCTAAAAACACACATTAAAATTTAATTTGAGGTAGAATATGCTCGGTGAAATATCTTTTTTCTGCTCCCTCTAACAAAGTAAAGCTGACTGTAAGTCCACCAAGTGTTCCCAGTGGTACAAGTACATCTACAGTTACCCCGTCTCAGCCAGTGCTCATCTCCAATTCTGCGCATCACAACGCTGATTTCGTTCTCTCTTCCTATTCAAGTGAGTCACAGTTGTTTCCCCTCTTTACCCCTACTCACATTTTCCAAATTACATCTCCTTTTTGTGTTAATTTCCAAAAAATTGGAGTTCCTATTAATTTGTTACTTGCTGCTGATCACTGTGCCTGTTGATTCTCGGGGTGGGAGGTGGAATGGGGGGTTTTAGAGCTGATTATTTGTTTAAGTAAATTGGAGATCTCTATTTTGATTTGTAATGTATGTTAAGATGGTTTTCTAGTGGAACATTAATTGGTGTTGCTTGAATTGAAATGGCTTGCTAGACACCAAAAGCATGAAACGAGTGCAAAATAATTTTCCTCTTTATTTTATAACTGCAAGTAGCAGAAGCAGGATTTTCTCTAAGGGGATTCAAAAAAGAAAAGGTTAAAAAAATTAAAAGAGACTATGGCCCGTGGGAATTGAACCAACGACCTCACAAATGTTTTGAATCCATTGACTACTAAGCTATGCTTTTGAGCTGTGTCGAAGGGATTTAAAATATAATACAGTGTAATTTTCAGGCGAAGGGTGTTTGGTGAACCCCCTTCCGCCCTCCATATCCGCCCCTGGCAAGTATTATCCGGTAGTATTCAGTTTTTTCTATGAATATACCATTTGAAAAGCTTCCTCCCAGGCTTTGTGTCAGTAGCAGTTTTTGTTGGAGTGTATGACTATCTCATCTAAAAGTTTAAGTTATTAGAGAGAATCAACAACAACAACAAACCCAGTTTGATCCCATAAATAGGGTCTGGGGAGGGTAACCGTGTTAGTAGAGAGGATACACGGTTAATTACATAATTATCTTCAACACGCCCCATCACATGGGGCTTTATTTATTTTCATGAGCCAAACACGCGAAAATTTCTTTTTGATAATAGGTGGTGGTGAGACTCAAATTCAGGACCTCTCTGCCCTGATACCATTTTAAAGTGTGTGTCCATCTCATCTAAAAGCTTAAGCTATTAAAGATAACTCACTTTTAATTACTTAATTATGTCTTCAATAGTTTCAAACTGAACATTAATCCAAATTTAAAAAAATAGGAAAACAGATACTGCACTTGATCATAGTCAAAAAGACATAAAAGGTATCCTTGGCAAATTCTTTCTTACTACCTCTTTTCATCTGAGTTACTCTTTTGCTCCTCCTGCTTTGCCTTTCAGGAGTCCGTCCAGCTTGACCTAGATGGACCAGGTAAAGGAGTTTTCATCTGTATTTTTAGTTTCTTTTTGTTTTACCTGATGCTTATTTGGATAGTGATATTGGGGGTAATTGCAGTATGAAAAGGTTGAAAAGATTGGTGAAGGAACTTATGGTGTAGTATACAAAGCTCGTGATCGTGTAACGAATGAAACTATTGCCCTGAAGAAAATTCGGCTGGAGCAGGAAGATGAGGGTGTGCCGAGCACAGCTATTAGAGAAATCTCTCTCTTGAAAGAGATGCAGCATGCAAACATTGTGAGGTATACTGTAGTGGTATGGTCTTTGTATTCTACTTATGAAATGATTACTGTATGGATGCGATTGCAGTGAGAGTGATTGAGGCTGTATTTTCTATTTCCTGTGGTTATTCGATAAATGCAATGTAGATTACATGGTTTATGCATACTTCTAATTCCCCTCCATATCAGTTTATGCAGGCCCTTTGCTATTATAGTATCTTGACAATAGTAAACTATTAATTTGCTTTCTAGCATTGGCCACCTTCCGTTTATCCCTTGTTCCGCTGTATAAGTATCAAGCTTCTGAAATTCTACAACATGGAGTCCATATGTGGGAGATGCTTTCCTTCTGCTCTGGGATTGCCGATCTAGCTGTACATATTTACTGCTTTGAAGGCTTCTCATTGGATGTACCCGTTCTTACTATGGAAAACTCCCCCCTCTATATCCTACGCTTATTCGAGTGTATTTGGGTTGCATAAGGGCTTTACCGTTATGGATATAGACCTATATTTTGGTACATCTTGCAGTAGGGATGATAAAACCATATCATAGTAACTTAGATTCTGGATAATTGGAAACTTCAAGAACTAAACGTTTTAGATTGAAGTAGTATAAAAGTTATGCATCTATAAATGCAGGCTTGTTTCCATATATATGCATTTAGGGTTACACCCAAGGGTGTGGTCAATGAAGTGGGTTGAGAACCATGAGGTTGCAGGTTCAAATCTCGCGGAGGCAAAGAACACGAAGTGACTTCTTCCCATCTGTCCAAGCCTTGGTAGATAGAGTCACCGGTACTTGTGCTGGTGGGAGGTAACAGATACCCCGTGGAATTAGTCGAGTGCAAGCAAGCTGGACCGGAAACCACGGTCATAGATAGACACACACACACACATTTAGGGTTGTGCAATAATTTGTAACTTTTGTAGGAGGTAGAATGGTTAGAGACATTTTGTAATTTAAGGAGCCTGTGAATTCTCACAGGAAAATATATTATTCACGGGAGCTAGAATGAGCAACCTCAATACCTAAAAAGTACTTCAATCTGTGTAGATCCTTAGTTTGGAAGTGCTGGAAGATGTGCTGCTTCAGATTGGTAATACCATCGTGATCATTGCCAGTAATAACAATATCATCAACATAGACCACCAGATAAATACAGAGACTTGAAGCAGAATGCTGATAAAACACAGAGTGATCAGCTTCACTACGAGTCATGCCAAACTCCTGCATAACTGTGTTGAACTTACCAAACCACGCTCGAGGAGACTATTTTAGACCATAAAGTGACCGGCGCAAGCGACATACAAGGCCACGAGACTTCCCCTGAGCAACAAAACCAGGTGGTTGCTCCGCGTAAACTTCATCCTCAAGGTCACCGTGAAGAAAAACATTCTTAATGTCCAACTGATAGAGGCCAACGGCGAGCATCAGCCATGGATAGAAAAAGGCGGACTGATGCTATCTTAGCCACGGGAGAGAAAGTATCACTATAATCGAGTCCAAATATCTGTGTATATCCTTTGGCAACAAGACGGGCTTTAAGTCGATCAACCTGGCCATCCGGACCAACTTTAACTGCATAAACCCAACGACAACCAACAGTTGTCTTACCTGAAGATATGACAAAGAAGATATAAAAGCATAATGGGGGGATGACAAACCATGTAAAGAATAGCACACGTCGCGTGTTGTCCAAGTTTATGACAATAAGAACACTTGGGTCTAGATCTTCCAAAACGACCTACTCCTCGTCTATTCTCCATAGTTTGAGATGCCCGATTGTCCATTGTCTGGGATGCGAGAACAGATGAGTCAAGTGTCTGTGATGAGATTATTGGGTGACTTGGTGCTGCGGCGAGGCAAAGTAATCGAGAGAATAATTCATCAACTGTGGGGACAGTCGGACTAGCCAATATCTGATCGCGTACTGAATCAAGATCATTAGGAAGTCCAGCGAGAGTAAGAACTAGAAACATCTTCCGTCGCTGCTCTTGTTGCTTTTCAACACTAGCAGAAACTGGCATCAACTTCTCAAATTCTTCCATGACTGCCTCTACTTGTCCCAAGTAAGTAGACATATCTAATTCCTGATTCTTTAAATTTGTCATCCACGATATCACATGATAGAAACGAGATATGTCATTAGTGTATAAAGTGCGAGCCTTTTCCCAAACCAAATAACATGTCTAGAATGGACGAAACAAGGGCATCAACTTGGAATCAATAGATCGCCACAGAATACTACATAATTGAGCATCGATCTTCTCCCAAAGTGCTTTGGCCTTTTCATCTCCTTCGCTAGACTTCTTGATTAAATGATCTTGAACACCTTGACCTTTACACCACAACTCGACAGACGAAGCCCGAGCTAAGTAGTTTGAACTTCCCATTAAAGGTTTTGAGGTAATCATTACACCGGAACTGCCAGAGCCCGGGTTTTTAGACCCGAAAGTTTCAACTCCCTAAGACATCGTTGGATTGAAGAGAGGTCTATAAAATTGTCACCAAATAACATAAAGAATCAATTGAAAACTCGCCGAAACAGACGAAGGAGACACTGTTTTTGCCGGAAAATTATTGTAGCTGCCGAAAAAAATCAGTGTAGTTGCCGGAAAAACTCAAAGTGGTCAGAATCAAACGAAAACAGTACGGGTGGTGTCACACTCAGAAGGCGACCCAACTGTTCTGAAGAAACTTTTTCAAAAAATGGCCGGAAGTGGTCGTACTCGCCGGTGCGTGAGGGCGCGTGAGGAGGCTGTTGCCGGAGATGTGCATTGGGGTTTGATCGTCGGACAATGACGGATCTTGTGGTAGTGTTGGATTTTGCACAATACTGACGGAAAGAGAGAGATGACGTAAAAGCTTTGAAAAGTCGCCAGAAAATTGAGGCACGATGACTTTTGGCTCTGTATTCTAGTTCCCGGATGTGTCTCACCACCACGGCTCTGATACCATGTGAGAATGCACGGAAAAATATATTATTCACATGTGTTAACTATAATACAAGTACCCTATTTATAACAATAAACCAAACCTACACTACTCCTATTCCATATAGGACTATGCTTATTTACATATCAGCTAACTAACTAACAGAGCCTATTAATCATTCTTTGGTTTGAGAGTATAGAGCTCTTTCAGAAATATTTAAGCTCATAGTAGCTCGAAGATGAGACTACCCCAAGGGCGTGGCCTAGTGGTCAATGAAGTGGGTTAAGAACCATGGTCTCAGGTACAAAAACACTATATATTTCTTTCCATCTGTCCAAGCCTTGGTGGATAGAGTTACCTGATACCTGTTGTTGGTTGGAGGAGCAGGTATCTTATAGAATTAGTCGAGGTGCACGCAAGCTGGCCTGAACACCGTGATTATTAAATAAAAAAGTAGCTAGAAGACGAGACATCTTCTGAACTTCCCATCTATTGTTTGTATGAGCTAGCTGGCGGACCTACTTATTGACTAGTGGGTACTTGAGCACCCATTGTTTTTTATGCAAGTACTAGATTTATATAGGAAACTAGTATTAACATACAAATAGATTGACCAAGCACCCCTTCCATGACTAGCTACAACTCGATACTCTAGATTAAAGGCAGATGAGCACCCACAAGTTAAAAATTCTAGGTTCGCCACTGGATTTAGGGGATGATGAATTCGACTTCTAAATCTGCACACACATCAGATATCCACACCCATGTCCATGTAACAAAAATGCGCACAGCTGGTGAGGGATGATCATTCCTTTAGCCACCCCTCGGGCATGTGCACTCACAAAATCTAAAGCTCAAGTAGCACGGAAGGAGCTTGCAAGTTAGTAAGGTTGAAACCTTGAGCATAAGATAGGCAGCATATGTTGATGAGCATGGATGAGCATCTTGGGTGAAGGAAGTGTGCGATTCCCAAATTTGTGTTGGAGATGATTATGGGCACTGCATTATACTTAAAAGACCTAATATAGAGTTGGTTGGCTTGTGTTCAATGGGATCATGAGCATAGCACTGACTAATTGTGTCATTCGCAATATGAAGAGTTTCCTGATGAAATTTGCAATGTGTGAGTGTGCGCATGAGTATTAGTGTAGGCATCATGCTGATGTCTACCGTAGCAAGATAGTTTAGTAAAACTACAGCCATACATGGAAGGAGAACCGGGGGTTGGCATGAATAGATTTTGCACCCTTATGGGGTTAGTGAGTTCAGGAGTGCTGCTTTATTTTTATTTTTTGGTGGCTGATTGAGTCAAAAGGAATTGAAGACTAGAGAGCAGATCCAAACATGTACATATCTGTAACTTGGATGCCAGTATCGAAATTTTCTTTTATAGATGGGAAAGCTATTTTTGAATTTGTAAGAAGTTTTCTTCTTATCTGGTTACAGGTTGCAAGATGTGGTGCACAGTGAGAAGCGATTATATCTAGTCTTTGAATATCTCGACTTGGATTTGAAGAAGCATATGGATTCATGTCCAGAATTCTCCAAGGATCCGCGTCTTGTAAAGGTGAGTAAAAACTGGATGATCATTTGGAGGTGTTTGCATTATGTGTTTTCTGCTTGATGAATTGTGTGACTCTATTTAACATCTTTGTGGAAGAGGGAGGGAGAGGCACCATGACCATAAATACTTAAATTTAAGATCGTTTCATTATGTGAATTGAGAAAGTATCACTATCTAATGATTTTTCCCGAGTTCACAGGCTTCTTGTTCACAGTCATCAATGAAGTAATCTCTCCTATTTTGCAGATGTTTTTGTATCAAATACTCCGTGGTATTGCTTATTGTCATTCTCATAGAGTTCTTCACCGAGATCTGAAGCCTCAGAACTTGCTGATAGATAAACGTACAAATGCTTTAAAGCTTGCAGACTTTGGATTGGCTAGAGCTTTTGGTATTCCTGTCAGAACTTTCACTCATGAGGTATACACTATACACATAGTTTTAGCTCTCTGAAACTCTCATTGTGCCTCCTCTTAAGTTTTTACCATTTTCTAATGTTCCATAGAAGATGGGACAGACGAGAAACTAGTTATGAGCTGTAAGCATAAACTTCTCTTACATCTAATGTCTTTCTTCAAGATCTGATACATCTTCTCTGTACGAACAACTTTTTTCTTCTCTTCAGAGTTTTCTTTAGTTTTTATAGCTTTAAGTTGTCTCTTAGTTGATAAAGATAAAGAGCTTGATCAGGGGTCTGTCCCCAATCATTTAAGATAAGACTCTTTTATCTTCTGCATTTCCTGCTCTGATATACCCATCATTAGTTTGAGCAAGGATATTTTTCTAACTGTTGTTTTATTGGGTCTTTAATAGTTGATATTTTGTTTCAGGTGGTGACCTTATGGTACAGGGCACCAGAAATATTGCTAGGAGCACGCAACTACTCTACTCCTGTTGATGTTTGGTCAGTTGGCTGCATATTTGCTGAGATGGTGAACCAGCGGCCCCTGTTTCCGGGTGACTCCGAGATTGACGAACTTTTCAAGATTTTCAGGTTTTAATATACATAACCAATTCTTTTGTTACCTTTCTCAAAAAAAGTATACATAACCAATTCTTACTGATAAGAAAAATATGCATCTTTAGTTCTTTCATGAAGGCATTATTTCTTATGAAAAGAACATATCCAAAAATACTTTGATAATGGAAGTTGTTCTCCTTATATTTTTCTTACTGATAAGAAAAATATGCATCTTTAGTTCTTTCATGAAGGCATTATTTCTTATGAAAAGAACATATCCAAAAATACTTTGATAATGGAAGGTTGTTCTCCTTATCTAAAAATTCCCTTCTCATCCTTGTAATTAACTGACCCTTCTTAGAAAAAAATAGGCATGGAACATCCTTCTGGCCTCTGTTATCCATCATGATCAAAATAATTAGGACTCAAAAAGCAGGCACGATGTAGGGTGCTGGGTGAACAGAATAGAAGGGCATGAGCAAGACTCATGGTTCGGAATACTGTAAACTTCACCGTCGGATGGCCTGTGATATCAATTTCTTCGTGTTGATATGCATATCAATAATTTGTTCTGTTTACTTTCCATATTAAAACTTTTTTTTATTCTATTTACTTCTCCTTCTAGGGGGTTTAATCATATATTGGTCCTTATAAAATAAAAAGAAGGTTCTTATATTGGCTTCATGAATTTTATGACCAAAATGTCAGTGTTAACAAGTTTTATATTAACTTCATCAAACTGTATAAAGGGAGTGCTAGAGTGAGGTTTCTTGAATCAAGGAATGTCAGTGTTAACAAGTTTTAAAAGTATTAATTTCATCAAACTGTATAAAGGGAATGCTAGAGTGAGGTTTCTTGAATCAAGGAATGTCAGTGTTAACAAGTTTTGAAAGTATGAATTTCATCAAACTGTATAAAGGGAATGCTAGAGTGAGGTTTCGTGTTTCATTCCTTGTGCTTCATGATTATTGAATATTTCCAATGATGTCATGATTCTCTACTTTTTCCGTCTATGAAGAGTAATGGGTACTCCTAATGAGGATGCATGGCCTGGAGTGACTTCTCTGCCTGATTATAAATCTGCTTTCCCAAAATGGCCACCTAAGGTAATTTAGATTTCTCTATGGTTTTTTTCCGTAGCAATTTGACTCCTGCTAGACCAAGGATAACATCGTATGGATTATTTAATTGGTGCCCTTTAAACTTGCAGGACTTGGCAACTGTAGTCCCAAATCTTGATGCACCAGGCCTTGATCTCATTGGTGTAAGTTACGTTATAAATGGTATCTGTATCTTATGAGCATGAAAGTTAATCATGTTTTTGAATGAAGCTCCATCTTTTGCGATTGATTCCTAATGAAAAAGATATTTTAATGGAAGACATAAAAAGCATCTACAATTAACTGCTTTGTGAATCGCTGCCCGTGAAATTGCAACATCAGTAGACAGTTGAAGGACATTGAACCATTAACAGCAGCAAGAGACTGACAATTAATTTTCTTAAAGAAAAAGGGTGTTCCAATTGTTGTGCTTGTGTTGTGCGTTTTTCTTTTTAATTGGTTCATGATCTGCATTCTTATACTTTTTCAGTCTCTTCAGTCTATGCCTCTTTGTTTCCTTTCTTCGCGTGTCTCTTTTCTTTTCCTTCTGATTTGTCCTTTTTATTTCGAGGACGTTGGGAGGTGGGTTGTTATGATGCAGTTTGTTTCTATGCGAATTAGAAATTTTCATATTCTCAATTCAATTAATTACTTCGGAACTTCTCTTTTTATTAGCATTATGAGTAGGTCTTTACGCGTGGACAGTGAGTAGTGTTTGATGATCAGATGATATGATTTGACATTTTAGACTCAAATCTATTGCGCTGATCTATGTGGCCCCATTACTCAATGTCCTGGCTTATTGATGTTTCAGAAAATGCTTTGCCTGGATCCCAGCAAGAGAATCACTGCCCGGAGCGCCCTTGAGCATGACTACTTCAAAGATATTGGTTTTGTTCCGTGATTCTTTGTACCTTCATTTTGATGTATATTTGGGTGTGTTATCTACAAGGTTTTGTTCTTAATTTGTGCTATCTTTAGGCTTTCATTTCCCTTTTTTTTTTCCTTCTAATTATATTTTCCTCCAAAGCATACAATCCTTATTAGAGTGGTCCTGGCACAGCGATGAATATTCTTATTCCAGTTTCGGTGTACCATGTGTGTTGAAGCATAGTTTCAGTACAATTTCCTTTTGGTTGTATTTTGTGGTTCTGGATACTGTTTTGTTACATTAATTTAAAATTTTATTTCAGGGTGCCATTAATGTTGTCTATAGTACTCTCTGGGATTAAAGTGAGTTTATTTACTGGAGTCTTTGCTTATCCCAAAGCGTCATTTCTGAGAATGCAAGCTAATGTTGTTCAAGCACTCTCTACAATTAGGGTAGGAGGTCGTTATCAAATATAATTACTCAACGTGAGTCGAATCACCGATCCACCAAGAAGCCATACTAGGGATGAGGAGATCACTCCATGATTAGGCCAAACGCTTGCTTTTGGATTGATTAACTAGTAATTAGATGCGTAAAAATAGCAAAGGCTAGCCAGTTTTCGGACTGGTCATTTAAAAATAGCCAGCGTTTGCCAAGTCATTGAAAAATAGCCACTATTTTGCTGTAACACGGAAAGCTCCAGCATAATATACTGGAGATCGGTGCACCTGTGTATGAACTTCCAGTATATTATGCTGGAACTCCAACAAGCAGAAAGCTCCAGTATAATATACTGGAGATTGGTCCAGTATATTTTGCTGGACCGGTATATTATACTGAAACTCCAGTATATTATACTGGAGTAATTTTCCGGATTTTGAACAGTGTTTTCGTTCAAATTTATCTTTACATGAAAAGTGGCTAAATTTCAATTACTTTTGAAACTGTGGCTATTTGTGAATGACCACTTGTAAATCTGGCTATTTTTGAATTTTTTCCATTAGATATATAAGAAAATGAAACACTTAATTACTAAAGGCAAATGAGCAAAGACTAAGAATTAAACAAGGATCAATTGACGATAACTTCATGACAAAAAATCAATTTATGATACAAGAGGCACAAGGATTCTAAATATGTCCAAATTGGAGTCTACAAAAAGGAGAAATTTATTTGTAGCCATTCGGTGAAAACTAATGACAACTAGTAGCCATAAAATAAGGTATACAATTCATAGCCCAAAACCAATTAATTATATGGCTAGCAAGTGAAACCCAGAACACCAGCGAGAGACTCTGGCTCCTCAATGCAATCATAATAGCTGCTAGCCCAACCTCTAATAGTCGCCTAACCTTTTTTTAAACTTAATGTTAGTAGTTAAAAATTTTGAAATCCCGCCAAATCAATCCCAAAATCCTTCATACCTAGTGAAATACCCGTAAAAAAATATCCTTTCAGCCCCAAAATTCCATCAAACCCAACCATCTTCTCCACAACCACCAAACTTCTTCCAATTTTACACAAATAATAATCCCCTTTTTAATTTTTACAATGAATCTAAAACTTTTAGTGATCCAACGTAGAAAAATATAATACTACATAAGCAAAGATACCCATAATATAAGAAGAAGAGGAACACGGTGATGTACAGGTTGTACAGGTACTATACACATTATACATGTTACGACCCAAAATCCATTGAAGGTCATGATGGCGTCGAACACCGTTGTCAGGCAAGCCAACACTAAATACTTAATTTAGGTCCTCACTTTAATATTTTTGAAATCATAGTTTTCCTTCAATCAAATAGTAGAAGATGGAAATTTCAGAGTAAATAATAATGTTTTTAACAATCTCAATACCGAATAACCAATAGTCATCCCAAAATCCGGTGTCACAAGTGCATGAGCATCAACTAGGAAATAGAATAAAATACAGCATCTGTCCAGAATACAAATTTGGATAGGGAAGAAAATATAAATACTCTGAAGGAGACTCTGCTGGCTGCAGATCGTAATATGGAATGCAGCTCACTTAAGTCCCCGCATTAACCACGCCACTGCACCCACAAGGTCACTAAATATATATATGTGCATGTACAACAAAATGTGTAGCAAGTGTAGTATGAGTACGAAAACAACGCATACCCAGCAGGTATCCAGTCTAACCTCGAAGAAGTAGTGACGAGGGGTCGACTCCGACACTTACTATGGGCTATAAGTAAAATTGCCAACGATATAATTTAAATATGGGTTGTATAGAACGGCTGTAAGCTCAATATTATGAAGTAAGTAAGCAATTCTTTTATAGTTAAGAAATCTCCAAATTTATTTCTCATCATTTAATAATTTATCTCAGGCCAAAGAGGCAATATCATTAATTATAAATTTCAAAGCAATCAATTCAATCATGCGCAAATCATGTCGAGGTCGTACGGCCCGATCCAACATATAAATATAAATTGTGCACTGCCGAGGGTCGAACGGTTCGAACCATATATGCATCTATTAAATCTGCCGAGGCGTTCGGCCCGCTCCACAAAAAGATAAACACATTCAAACAACCAAATCAAGAATTTATTAAGGGGCAATTAAATGCAAATTCTCATTTAACGGTCAAGAAAACGAATTTTATCCTTTTAAAATTCCTTTACCAAGTTCAATGTGATTTAAGCAATCAAATTAACAAGAAGATTGCAGACATCGCAAGTATAACATTATTTGAGTCCTAGACAACCCGGACTTAAGCATAATAGTAGCTACGTACGGACTCCCGTCACCTCGTGCGTACGTAGCCCCTACAAATAGGAACACATATCGACTTATTTCACCTATGGGGTTAATTCCCTCTTACAAGGTTAGAAAGGAGACTTACCTCACTTCAAAGCCCACTTTCCGGTCCAAGATTATGCTCAAACCTCAATTCGGCCAATTCAATACTCAATTTAGCTTTTCCTTTACCAATTCACCACTGCTCGGCTCAATCTAGCCAAAGACGACTTAAATACATCAAACAATGCAAGAGAAAATAATTTCAATTAACAAAGCTATGATCCTTACACAATTTGCAAAAAGTCAACAAAAGTCAATTTCCCGGACCCGCACCTCGGAACCCGATAAAAATTTACAAATCCCAAACACCCATTCCGATACGAGTTCAACTATACTAAAATTATCAAATTCCGATACCAATTCGTCCTTCAAATCATCATTATATATTTTGAAAGATTTTATAATTTAACCCAAATTTTCCTTTAGATTCTCGTAAATTTTGATGTTAAATCTAAGGTATAATCACAAATTCTTCACGCCCCAACCTCGGGGAGCGCGACTGACGCTCAACATAGTGGAACCGGTCGAGCAAGCCTGTTAGACACTTTCTACCCAACCCGCTTATGAAAAAGAGAAGGCGTGTTTCCATTAGTTCAAATAGTAGAAGGATCAAATATTTACAACATTACTAATTCATTTCATTTTACTACATCATTGTTAAGTTTCCAAAATACATACACTTTACAATCTAGTGGAACAAGAGTCCAAAACACACCATAATCCACCCGACCCTTCTAGCACCCATGCACAACCCACATAAATGTCTAAGGAGCCTTTAAAGATACAAAAGATAGTTATGATAATGCCGGCAACAAGGCCCCGGCTATACCTCAAAATGTGGTAAACATATAAATAAAAGATGTACTACATGACCCTGGGAAGAAATGGGGCTCACCAAGTCTACTGGGAAGATGATGATGATGCACCACTAGCTGCGATCAACACTATTTGCTATGGAACCACCTACATCCATTTAAATATGTAGCGCCCCAGGAAAAGAGGACGTTAATACTGTCGAATAGTACTAGTGTGTAAAGCTAAACACCAATCTTAAAAGAATGAACCATGAAACGAAGGGGATGCAGTCATGATGTACAATAAGAGCTTCAAACAAATACTAATACATCAAGTACGGATCACATAAGTTCTAGGTTCAATTTCCATCTTATTAGGTTGGTAATCTTAGTGCCATGTACCACAATCCACAATACCACCGTGTTCTTAGACGGAGTCCGATCTCGACCCGCTCATTTGAGACATCAACCATATCCACAATTTCAATCATCATTTCCAGCACAGTTAGCACCATATGTGCGGCATGGAGTCCGATCACGGACCGATCGGCTAGTCCATCTCACTTGAGACATCATCCTTTAAATCATTCATCTCACTTCCTATTTCTTTTCCTTCTTTCAATACATTGGCACGAGTGGCCTCATTTATTAAGCTGTTCTTGGCACTTGGCCGTATTTTACAATTCAAGTTTCCCTTTTTATACATTCAAATAACATTATCATCAACATCAATAAGGCCTATCATGTAAGGCATTTGCACACATAAGGTAAAGCTTGGAATATCCTAAGCACACAGAGGCTTTTCATACAAATTGGCACAGCAACCTTTATTCGTTTCTTGACATAAATTCTTAACCTTTCTCAACACATATTCCACATTTTAAACACATCCTCAAATGGCATGATGACATGATAAACATATAGAGCAAATATTGAACATGAATCTTTCAACACAACACATTAGGGCAGTCAATTCTAGTATGATCAATTTAGGGACTTACACGAGTTACACGAACGCCAGGGGTTCGATTCTAAGAAGAAGGGGGTTTAGCCATACATACCTCAATTGAGCTCCCCTAAACTTTAAGATGATATGGAATTTAGCAACCTCAATCTCTTAGGAAGAAGAACTAGGTTCCTTTCTTGATAATCTTCAAGGTGTTGAGAAAGAATTGAAGAGTAAATTTGATGAAGGTCATCTTATCTCTCTACTACTCTCTTTCTCTCTCCCTAAAGATATAAGAAACTAGCTAAAAAGTGGCCCTTACCTCCATTTTAACGAAGTTGGGTCAGGTTTTAAAACCTCAAAATGAAGAACCGGAACAGGTTATGCGGTCGCATATGCGACCGCATAATGGTTATGAGGTCCGCAAAATAACCGCGAAAAGTGGCCCTTGGAACTAGGCTGGTCTGCCTCACTCTACGGCCGTTATGCGGCACGCAGATCTGTTTTGCGGTCGCAGAATGCGCCGCAGAACCTCCCTTCGCAAAAGTCCAAGGACGATTATGCTACCAAAGTGCGGCCCGCGAAATGGATATGCGGTCGCATAATTGGCTGCAAAATTGACCACAAAATTGGCCAAAAATACTGCTTCACTCTACGGCCATTCTGCGGTCCGCAGAGCAATTATGCGGCCGCATAATGGGCCGCAGAAATGCCTGCTTCTGCAAAAATATTTCCTTCAACTTTTTAACGTACAGTTC